AACTGGGACAGGCCCAATTCTCAACAGAGAACTGAATCCAAGATTGGGAACAGTCAGAAGCTAAGAAGAAATGGCCATCTTTCTTCTTCTTTTGTGTAAATGCAGTTAGCATTCTTAGTCAATATCGTCACCTACTGGGCAGTTGTGGTTACATTCAGAGAATAAGTTGCTAAAGATGAGGGTATATGCTTACTTACCCGTGAACCTAACTTTCACATAACCTGCTTTGTGGAATACCTTTCATCAGTTGGAAGGACCACTCTCAGACCCCCGACAATAAAACTGTCTGTGTGAACAGGCCTTAAGGTTTCTCACTCTGTAAGCAGAAATCCTTTCTCAAAATATCGTCTGTCCTTTACATGCACAGGAAACAGTCAATACAGGCCTGTCAACACAGGCACATCACAATAACAGTACAACGCTGTACAGACCTCTTTTGGTCCTCACAACCTATCCTCTCCGTATTTCACTGGAGAAACAAAGAAACATTTACAACTCCATGCAACTTTTCCTGCCATTCATCAGACTGAGAGAGAGAGAGACAGCAAAGGGGGCAATAGAAGAGAAAGACTGTGCCATTCATCAGAGAGAGAGAGAACAAAAAAACAAGTTCAAGGAAGAACGTAAACAGATTGCATTTGTTTGTAAACAATAATAAAAACTATATAGATATAAAAACATTAACTGAAATCAAATGAAATATAAAAAAAAAAAAAAAAAATTACATTTGTTTCTGGTTAATGTAACAATATGATTTTAATTAGCAATTAATTATTCTTTAAATAGTGCAGTTATTTGCCTTTAAAATAATTATACATCAGCAAATATGTGCAAACCAAATAAAAGGACAATATTTAAAAACGCAAGCCATTCTTAAAAAAAAAAAAAGAGATTCTTGTCCATTTTCTCTTCATCCTCTGCAAATTGACATAGCATGTGTGTGAGAGATAAATTTACTAACGTTACTACTATACTAGGTAAATAAATACTGATTTATATAAGTTGAACTTGGAAGGCAGAGGGTGAACCAACTGCAGGGTAAAGCTAAAATCTATTAAACTGGCACACCATAAACCGGTCTTTTTCATCAAGTAGATATATGGGTGTCATGACATAAAATATTTTTACCTACGACTAAATTTATATTTAACGTGATCACGATTTAATGAAAACATTGTAATTTACTGATTACAGCGCTTTTATTTCCACGGGTGTTCAAACAGCTAATACAGAAAGCGAGCAAAGAACACTATCAAAGAACATTATCAGTGACTTAAGCGCAAGTTTAAACACTCTCAAAACAACTCCCACTAGAATTAATGAAGCTGTCTACACTGTGAAATTAATCTCTTACTTACATCGCACATACATCTGCCCGTTATGGCAAGCCATTTTAGCTTAAAGGGGTCATATGATGCTATTTTAAAGATCATTATTTTGTGTATTTGGTGTAACAGAATATGTTGACATGCTTTATTGTTCAAAAAACACATTATTTTTCAAATACTGTACATTATTGTAGGTCCTCTATGCCCCGCCTCTCTCAAACGCTTCGTTTTCTACAAAGCCCCCTCAAGCTTTACTCATCATAATTTCATTTTTACTAGTAACAATTCAATTAGAGAGCTCTACAATTAAATTCTTACTAGTAACAATACCAATTAGAGAGCTCTCTAAATCTATTTTAACTAGTTATAATTACAATAAGAGAGCTCTCTAATTTAAATCGAGAGCTCTGCAATCGCATTCTTACTAGTAAGAACTGAATTAGAGAGCTCTCTAATTCGGTTTTTACTAGTAACAATTATGATTATAGAGCTCTCTAATTCAATTCTTACAAGTAATAATTGAATTAGAGAGCTCGCCAATTAAATTAGCGATCTCTGCAATTACATTCTTGTAAGAATTCAATTAGAGAGCTCTACAATTAAATTCTTACTAGTAAGAATTCCAATTAGAGAGCTCTTTAATGCAATTCTTACTAGTAAAAATGCAATTACGACGAGTAACGCTTGGAATATTTTAAGCTAAAACAGCTTGCCATAGCTCGTTGTTTATGTTGAGAGAGTCCTAGAGAGCCCTGCACACCGGCATTTCAGCGATGACTAAAAAGCGCTATATAAATAATCGTGACTTGATTGACTTGACAATAACCTTTCCCTGAATGTCAGCAAAACAAGATGATTGTGGATTACAGGGAGACACAGAGAGGCAAACTCACTCCTATTTGTATCAATAGAGTCAAAAGCTACAAGCTCCTTGGTGACCACATCTTGGTGATTTCTTCATTTCCTACCATACAGACCCAGTAGTCAGAGTAGCCTGTCAACATCTCTACTTCCAGTAGAGGCTGAAAAAATTTTACATTGACTCAAACACCCTGATTAACTTTTACTGCTGCACCACAGGGTACATACATCCTTATGAAAAAAAAAAAAAATCTAGTGAAAATTTTTAAATGCACTAAGAACAACACATGCACATTTAGCAAGATGTATGATAGTGATAACACTTGGATGCTTTCTCACCAGTTCTCTTAATAATATGCATAATTTAAACAATTCACATTTGGGTTTATCCTGGTATTTCTGTTTGTATTAGTTATTTATAACTCACCTCAGACTTTGATCTATCTGGGTTATGCAAAAAATATCACCTTTTTGACAAGAATCCTCCAAGAGTTGCTTAACAGTTTCTAAGCCCATGCCCTGGTTGGCTCCGGTGATCAAGATATGCATGCTTTCACTGCTTCCATCATCTAAGTTCATCATTCTGGGTCATCCAACCTGCTTCTTAGAAGTGCTTTTTATATGAACCCAAGTGAACACCACACCCATTTTGCACTAGCGTATTGTTCTGCTTCATACTGTATGTGTTATTGATGCTTTAAACATAAATGATATGAACAGTAAAAGAGAGTGAATTTAAAAAATCTAAGATAACATTCCATCTATTAGCTCAAATACTAATCATTTACAACTATAATAAACCTGGGTGAAACAGTGGCAGCTCATTGCAACGTTATATTCTATTTGTTAACTACACATACAGTGTGTGTTGCTAACTAGGTAAGCGTGAGCCATATCGGCTTAGGTACACATAGCTTCTTTAGGTTAGTAGCTAAACAACTTTAGGGTTTGACACCCAGATACGGATTGCTAAGCCACTAAAAATAAATAGAAATACTATCTGGGCTCCGCCGATAAGATAACATAAGTTACTACCAGGTACACATAGCACTTGCATTAAGTCATTCTGCAAATCAGGCTCCGGCACACACAGATAGTAAAACATGCAATTCTCTTGGCTCTTTGGAGCATATCCAGTATATGTCTTGGTGGTAGACCTGTTTGTTTGGGAGGACTGTATTGTGTGGGGATATATGCATATCTACTGCAGTAGCTCGTCTGTGGATGTATTTGCAGCAGCAAATCTCTTCTGACAAGACCAAAAACATTAACATTGTCATACAGTATCTATTGCCATGCCAAACTATCCAGAGAGTTGTCATGATTGAACTGAAATTTTCCACAAGCTCTTGATTTTTAGCAGGGCAAGGTCCAAAATGTTGTCCCAAACCTTTTGGGACAAGTGATGGGCACACTTATGAAAGAGAAGGTGGTCTTCCTAAATTCAGATACAAAGGACCACAGACACCATGTCTTTTGGGTGCCTGAAGTTCTAGAAGACATGGTGGAACAGTGCATCTGCAGTATTAGGCAGTATGCAGACTCTTCAGGGGAACCAGTCGAAAAGCCTTGGTGAATCTTTCAGTGGCAACTAGCATGCAGGTATGGCTACTGGATGGTGTGAGGTGGCATGGGGATTTGGTCATGGCACAATTTGGACAAGCCTGGATGACGCATTTTACCTCTTGGGACATACAGGGCCACCAGTAGTAGTCATAAAGGGTTTGGCTGATGCTGGGAAGACCAGTGCACAGGGAGGAGAGGAAAGAGTCTAGAGGTGGTTGGTGAATAATTGCTGGCATACTCCAGCTGAGCAGGATCAGCATTAAGGGCTTCTTTGATTTGCTCATCTCATGGTCCACTGAATCAGGATTGACAATCTTCGATAGCAGAAGGATAGGTTCTGGGGTAGAGTTGGAAGATTACGGGAAGCAGAGCTAGGAGAGAGAGCATCTGCTTTTAAAGGGGTCATATGATGCGATTTCAATTTTTCCTTTCTCTTTGAAGTGTTACAAGCTCTTGGTGCATAAAGAAGATCTGTAAAGACTAAAGTCTCAAATCCAAAGAGATATTCTTTATAAAAGTTAAGAGTCAACCACACCTACCTAAAACGGCTCGTTCTAACACGCCCCACATGTCTACGTCACGATGTGGGAAGATTTGCATAACACCGCTGAAATGTTCATGCCAATAAAGAAGGCGTAACTTTTATTCTCGCTGTAGTATTGTTGTTGCCGCCGCCATGTCGTGAAGACTACTTTGTTTGGCCTTCCAAAAGAGGACGATATCCATGATCCGTGCTGGTCGCTGAGGAAATACATAAACCGTTTTTAGACCCTGGATGATGGACAATGCCCACTGGGCCTGGCAATGGTTAATCCATTGAGAATCCCTGAGATATTTGAGTTTGCAATGATTGGTGATAACTTGGAATGGCTGGCTTGAACCCTCAAGAGGAAATCATTCCTCTTGTATTCCTTGAATGCAATGTCAGCTGATTTGGATCAAATCATTTGCCAGTTGTGTAAATGTATGCCATTGTTGCACTTTGTATCCTGACCTGAGCCAGCACTACAGATTCTAGTAATTATTAACTTCTTTCCCTGATTTAACTGTGTGTAATTGACAGCACAAACATAGACCAAAAAAAAGAGAGAGAAAGACAGTAATGCTTTATTAATCAGAGTGTTTTATTGTATGAAATGTTATAAAATTGTCATTTGTCTTGCATAAACCTATTTGGCCTGAAATAATGTGCTTATGATTTGTTGTGCCCTTATATGGATAATAGATGAAATAGTGCAGTTTGGACCTGGATCAGCCCTTTCATGACCTCTTATATATCGTTCTTCTGGTTTACCAGGGAATTGTTTCTCCAGTGTAGTCCAAGAATCCTCCGTGCTGCTTCTCAGTAAGGCTGCCAATGACACGCAGCATCCCCTCCACACTTTCTTTTGGTTCAAGTGGTGCCTAGTGAAAATAAAAACATAGTTCACTAACATTAATCCATCTATTCATTTTCCAAATTGCTTGCCCTGTGTAGACTTTTTGCTGGAGCCTATCCCAACCACTCATGGCTTCAGTACATTGCAGGGCTAAAGGCCTGTTCACACAAACACATTTTTGACATCAAAATCCAGTCCAATTTTTGCATTATCAAGAAAACTGATCAAGAAAAAAAACAAAAAAAAATGGTACTGGATTGGCATTGGTATCGACAGATGATCAAAGTTGCAGAATTGCCATGGCTGTTGTAGTGGAGGGAAGACTTTCTGTGTGCTTAAATTCAGCAACTTATTGTACTGTTTGTTCCTCAAAGCTATCAAATATCTTCAGAAGACCTGGAATATAATGCATAAAAAAAATTTAATTAAGTATTAACACTAAAACTATTTGCCATATTTCTAGAGAGAAGAGTGCCACCATCCCAAGAGGGATGAAGACCATCTCTTTTCAACAGGTCAGGTCTGCCCCAAAAACGTCAAATTGTCTATGAAACCTATATTGCTCTGCGGGCACCACTTAAACATCCAGCCATTCAGTGACGGCAGTCTGCTGTGTATCCCATCACCACAGTAAGTGGGCAGGGGGGCAGAGCATATTACAGTGTCTAACATCGTATTTGTAAGTTCACACACCTCTTTAATGTTATTTTGTGATCTCCTACTGACGAAGACAGACATCATTAGTGCCGACATGGATAACAATCTTACTGAATTTACGTATAGCTTTAGCCAGCCTTTTTTAAATTTGCCAAGATGACATGAGCTCTGGCTCCTGGTAAACATTGTGCTGGTTGGTGTCTCCATTTTCACGTTCCAAATAATAGAATTCCTGACAACCAGGGATGGGCAGTATTTCAGATACATGTATTTAAAATACGTATTTGAAATACAAAATAGTATTTTGTATTTTTATGCCTTTGGAAAAAAATATATAATTTGTATTTAAATACATTTAAGATTAGTATTTTTGTATTTTCAAAATACATAAAATACTTTGTGCCAGTCAACCTCTTTATCAAGGTGCTGATTTCGTGCATCAACTAGTTCAGACGAGCCCCCTCTCCTCAACTCCAACATTCATGCACGTGAGCTGCAGCTGTACAACTCCATTCAGCATTGCATGAGCGACATTTTTGGAATAAGATAAGGTGATGATGTCATGGTCAACTGTAGGTACTCGTTGAATAAAGTTAAAATAGTGCATCATTCAGATTTGCCTTCAGTTACCATGAAAGAATAAAAGAGCACCGGCAAGGGGAAAAATAGCATTAGCCAATTTGATAGTTAATCAGTTGTTTTTTTTTTTATCAACTAACTTGTCAAATGTGTTTAAAGCATTAGTGCACGTTAGGGCGGGGTGATATGACAATACATATGGTTATGATGATATAAAGTGTGAATCGATTTAGCTTTTTCTAAATCGCTTACGTAAATAGGCCTATTGGGGTAAGAAAATATATCTATGCAGCTTTTATTGGGCAGGAATTATTGGAACATTGGAGTGGAAAAAGAAGCATAAACGAATGAGTAATAGAGTGTGATGTGCTTGGTGCATTCGCACTTATTATAAGTGCAGTATACCGCGAAAGGAAATTAAAATATATCGAAATCCAACATTTTTCATTACAAATTCTCATTTTGTATTTCGAATTCATGACCAGTGTTTTGTTTTGCTCTCTCCCATGTGCTTCTGCCTTTTGTCACTTTTCACCGGAGCTTGCACTACACCTACAGTCAGGTCCATACATATTTGGACACAGGCACAATTTTTATTATTTTAGCTGCTGACCAAAACATATTCAAGTTACAGTTATATAATGAATATGGGCTTAAAGTGCACACTCTGAGCTTTAATTTGAGGATATTCTCATCATAATTGGAGGAAAGGATAAGGAATTACAGCTCTTTTATGTGTACCTCCCACCTTTTTCAAGGGACCATAAGTAATTAGACAATTGATTGTTTCATGGACAGGCGTGGGCTATTCTTTCGCTATTCCTACATCAGTTAAGCTGATAAAAGGTCTGGAGTTGATTCTAAGTGTGCCATTTGCATTTTCAAAGGAGCTCTCCATACAAGTGAAACAGACAATTGTTAGGCTTCTGTGAAACATGGTGGAGCAGTGTGATGGTATGAGCACGCATGGCTTCCAGTGGCACTCGGTTACTGGTGTTTATTGATGACGTGACAGAAGACAGAATCAGCCGGATGAATTCTGAAGTGTATAGGGATATACTCTCTGCCCAGATTCAGTCAAATGGAGCAAAGTTGATAGTACAACTTTCATAGTACAAATAGATGTTGACCCAAAACATACAGCAAAAGCAACCCAGGAGTTTTTGAAGGTAAAAAGTGGAATATTCTGCAATGGCCATGTCAATCTCCTGGGGCCTCATTTATAAAATGTGCGTATGCACAGATTTGATCTTAGAGTGTGCGTACGCTAAAATCCACGGCAATGAGCCAAAATCATCACAATTAAAAGAACCAAAGACTTAAACTACTTCGGTCTGTGTGCATTGAATTTATTTAATACACGAGTTTCACAATCTGAGTTGAATTACTGAAATAAATAAACTTTTCCACGACATTCTAATTTATTGAGATGCACCTGTAAGCTGCAATAATAATAAAAGCGGTGTACGTGCAGGCACTGAATTCATCATAAACAACAAAGCTGCAGTGTAAGAGATTAATGCAGTGTAGTCAGATTTTTTATTAACGGGACCGGAGACCATAATCGTGTAATAATTAATTTTATTATGATATGAAACGTCCAATTTTTCTTTCAATAATGTTTTTTAAAGTTTTACAAGAATTTCATGATACTAAACTTTTTATTAGTTGTCATAGCAAGTGATTTTAAAAGTAGGATGGCTCACTTTTTATAAGATGACTGAAAAT